TCCCCTCCAACCATCAGGTTCTCCCCTCCACTCCACCATCAGGTTCTCCCCTCCAACCATCAGGTTCTCCCCTCCACTCCACCATCAGGGTCTCCACTCCACCCTCAGGTTCTCCCTTCTAACCATCAGGTTCTCCCCTCCACTCCACCATCAGGGTCTCCCCTCCACCCCACCATCAGGGTCTCCACTCCACCCTCAGGTTCTCCCTTCCACTCCACCATCAGGTTCTCCCTTCTAACCATCAGGTTCTCCACTCCACCATCAGGTTCTCCCCTCCACTCCACCCTCAGGTTCTCCCCTCCACTACCATCACATATGTGACCGTGCTATGGCATGTTTTAAAGGTATTTACTAAGGGAAAATTTTTAAACATCAATAGCAACATCTGAAAGTCGTGTTTTAATATCATCCACTTTATATTATCTTTGTTAGAAACAAGGTTTTAAAACTAAGTTATTTCTGTTAATCTTTTCTTTTTTTTTTTCCTTTCTTGCCTCTGATAGATGAGTGACATGCTTAAGAAGGTACCAAGTATTTTATTTTACGATTCATCTTCCTCTAGTTATTAGACTATAATAAGCAGATTTTGTCCACTGCCATCTGGGGACAGATGCTGGATCCTAAAGTATGTGTGGTCCCCGGGCAATGAACTGTACAGTCGGCAGTTCCAGTAACAATGTCCAGCTTTGACTTGTGGCCCATGTCTTCTGTCAGGAAAATTATTAGTTACCTTTGAATGTAAAAAATCATTAGTCCAAGTGTCACCTGCACAATGGGAGCTGCCTCCACTGTTTCTAAATCCATAAAATCCAAAAGCTACTTCTTACTGAGACAGTGTGTCTCTGACGATTATTTCTGTTGAGCTGGGACTGTCACTGTACACTATTCAAGGCAGGATAAACTCACTTGATTTTCTGTAAAGGTTTGCGTTAACCTAGAGGTCAAAGAATTGAGCCCATTAAGAACTTTTTCTATTTTGTGTTGAATCAAACTGTGAATTGGACAGTTCCATCTTAATTTGTTCCGTAATAAATAACCCAAGTTGTTTTAGTACTGAGCTGTTCCTTGGCCCTTCTTTGAGGACAATATTGCATAGCGCTCCTTAAATTCCTGTTTCACTCCATGAAACGGCATCCTGGGGACCTAAACAAGTACAATAACTCCTAACCGGTGCTCATTAAATGTTCATCATATGCATGCCAGGTGCAAGAGGAAACACAACTTATTCGAACCAGGCCCTGTCCCCCAGAAGCACTGGTTAGAGTCAGGGTCAACAGAACGTTCAAGTCCAGGTGATAGAAAAATCTTTGGACACACTGTTTCCAACTTGGAAGACCAATAATCAATATTGGTTTAAGATTTGTGTTGTCTTTCTGGACAGTGCCAATAGATGCCTCCCTTAAAATGCTCCCCCAGCACCCTGGGTATGTCCCCGTGGAATCTTTGCTCAAGTGTCTGAAGTACCTGACTGCTGATTAATGTCCTGTAGACTAGAAGGTCCTGGGGAGGGTGGGGGGCGCTACTGTTTCATACCCACTTCTCCAGAATGCCTGGAACTCTTTGGTTTCTTGATAAACATTTTTCAAATACTTGGATGAATGGGTCAGTGACAGAAGTTAAAGGAATAAGGATGAATTCAACTGTGCATTTTCGTTCACATCATTCTTGTTTTATAATTCTTCATATTTCTACAATTACAATTATTTCCGGCATGACAATTCTATCCTAGGAATCCAGGGCACGCCCACAGCAAAGCCTTATGAGCTCACCTTTTCCATTTAATTACTTATTTATCTTAACCCCCACTGGGTAGGAGTAGCTACTGTGTCTTGGCACTGTGCTGAGTGGTAGGTGGTTAAAATGATTAGGGTTATGTTAAGATTCGGATGTCAGGAAGACATCCCATGAAAAAATATAAGAGGCTTCTGGAGATGTCTCCATCCTAAATAATCCCCACAACCACCCCTCCAACTTCTCAGGGAACAGCAATCCAATCAGAAATGAAAGCCACAATCCAGGCCCAGTAGAAGAAGAAGGAATCAAGAACAACTGGGATGATCTAGTTTCTATCTGAGATCATAAAAAAAGTAATAAAATGTTTCCATTCATTCACGCAAATACTTAGGATGTGCTAGGTTGAATTTCTTCTCCTGAAAATGAAGAAAAAACAGAGAGTCTGAAATAAAACCCCTGACTTGGGTAATCTTACTGGGGAGGGTGGGGGGGTGGGGACAGAGTAAACAAAGATGCCACGTGTCAGTGGCTCTAAGTGGTAAAAAGAAAAATGTCAAGTCAGGGACAAGTTGGACTCCATTACAAAAAATTAATAAATGAAGCAGAGTGCAGGAGTATAGCTGGGTTCACTTCCCTCCTCAATAAAAGAAAAATAATTCAAACACTGCCTCCAAATTCTACCTAAAATTAATTTTTAAAATATTTTTACTTGTCTTGAAATCCTTTGAAATGTAAGCAACCATGCCTATATTTTTATACTAAACAACTAAAATCTTCCAAAAACTTTTAAAAATCTGCCTTCTTCATGCTACTTTTTGTTTGTTTATTTGTTTAGAAGGCTCTGTCCAGGTTCGAACCTGCCACCCCTGGTTCACAGGGCTGGTGCTCTAACTATTGAGCTATGTACATCCAGCCTTTTCATGCTACTTTTTATAACAATAACTTCAAAGGGGGGAAGTAAAGAAAATATACGTTCCAAAGGCAATTTAAGTTTGTTCTGTTTCATCTGCTTTGAGTTACTTCTAAAATGTCTGGTCAAGCACAATAAATCACGCCTATAATCCCAACAGTTTGGGAGGCTGAGGTAGGGGGAGTGCTTGAGGCCAGGAGTTCAGGACCAGCCTGGACAACATAGTAAGATCCTGTCTCTACAAAATTTTTATCAAAAAATAAGCCAGGTGTGGTGGTGCACACCTGTAGTCCCAGCTACTCAGGAGGCTACAGCAAGAGGATCTTTTGAGCTCAGGAGTTGGAGGCTGAAGTGAACTGTGATCACGCCACTGCACTCCAGCCTGAGTTGAGAGAGTGAGATCTGGTGTCTAAAAGAACAAAAACAAAACAAAACAAATCTGGGAGCTGGCTGCTCATCTTGGGTCAGAGAACCACTTCCAATAATTATTACGTATTTGATGTTTCTAGTTCTGCTTTTTGTCCCTTGAAATCCATTACTATTATTTATGACAGTGCTATGGACTTAAAACTTGTTAACACATCCACACACCTCTAAACATGCAGTCTGCTTAACAGGAGTTGCTTAAGCTTTGCAATTGAGATGTTAGACTTTCTGAGTTGCTCCACTGAAAACAAATATCAGAATACACACAAAACTCTATTGCTTGGCTTCCTCAATCAGAATCAGTGTGTCAGTAATGTACTAATTAGTGGTTAGTTTAATCTGTATAGATTATTTTAATTAATCCAGTAGTTTCCATATGGCTGCTTTGCTGTTAACCATTTTTTTTTCAATCCTACTGAATATGTTTTAAGTATTTAATAAATCAATCTAATTTTCAAACTATAAATATAATTTAAATGAAGCTGTGGTAGATGACGGTTTTGGAAAGAGTCACTTCATCAGACCTCCCTGACCGTAGGCTTAGTTCACGCTGACTGTGGGATCTGAGCTTGTTCTATCTCCTCTCCTGTAATCGTATGTGAACTCCATGGAGTCTTTCTTTTTGAAGTTTGAATCTCAGGAAGATGAGAAATTGCTTCAAGCAACAGAGAAGTTTCAAGCTGAATGTGCCCTCAAGTTTCCCAAACGCCAGTGCCTCACAACAGTGATTGACATAAGCGGAAAGACAGTCTTTATCACACGTTATCTCAAACCCTTAAACCCTCCTCAGGAGCTCCTTGACATCCACCGCGATAATCCACAGGCAACCGCAGTAAGTATTTTGTGGCAATCAGTACTGCTAAAAATGTTTTCAAATTTCAGTATATTGCCATTTTAATTACCATATTTTATAGTATTTAAAATATTAACTATATCAAAATGATTGGAGATAATTTAGAAAAGTCTCAAGGTACTAGGGATATGTCAATTATAAAACGTTTTAAGGTAGATTCACTTCTTTAGATATTACAGAAATATGAGTTATAGCCAGAATGATGCCCAGATCTTGGTTCTGAAGTATTATACCCCTCTAAAAAAATAAATAAATAAAAACAAAAAAAATGGGCTCCTTGGAGAAATGGCTGCTTTCAGGACTAGACTAAGTGAAAGTTCAAGATGACTCTGAACATCTCATTACACTAGACAGAACAGAAAAGTGCAAAAAGAATGACAAGGACAATTTCAGAGAGACACAGGAGCCAGTTTCTTCATTTGTGAAAGACGGGTAACTATCACCTTCCAGGAAAAAAGGCTATTTGGTGAGGCTGGGGGCAGCATCAGCCCAGCGTTTACTGAGCACTACTGAGTTTAGTTTCGTTTTGTACGTGGAAATGTTTGTGATGTCTGAAAATTACTTTAAGAAATGAGGTCGGGGATGCAGCTTTCTGTTTCGTTAGAAATCATTTTTTAAAAAGCTACTTTTGACCCTGCAGGAACTGGTGGCTCGGTATGTGTCCCTGATCCCTTTCTTGCCTGACACGGTGTCGTTCGCTGGTCTCTGCGACCTGTGGAGCACGTCCGATGTGAGTCGTTCCTTGTTACACACTTACTATCTTGGGCTGACTTCAGGGAACGCCCACTAAGTGGCTTGCATAATCTTAAATGGTAATATTCATTAGTCATAATAAAAACCTTATTGCCCATCTATCTGTTTAGCAGGATGAGCTAAATTCTGAAGTAATTTTTCTTTTCATTCAATTTTTCCAAAGTCCAGAATTTTTTTAAAAAATTGATTACAGAAAGACAAAAAAAATAATACTTCAGGGTCAAGTGTGGTGGCTCACACCTGTGATCCTCCCACACGCTGGGAGGCTGAGGCAGGAGGATCTGTTAGACCCAGGTGGTTGAGGCAGCTCTGACCTAGGCTGACACCATGGCACACCAGCCTGGGCAACAGAGTTCTTTTACTCTGTTTCAAAGAAAAAAAAAAAAACACTTCATATGTCCTAAAGCTGATTTACCCTCCAGTATTTACAATATCCCAGTTTTGTTCTTTAAAAATATCAAAATTGCCTTCTATATTATAATTGGAAATGATATATTCCTTAATTTGTGGGTTTCATAAGGTGTGTCTGGTCATTATTTATTCAGTTCGTATTTCCTGGTCACCTACCACGTACCAGACACTCTACTAAGCTCTGGCTATCAGCAAAGGAAACCCAGTCTCTGTCTCATGGAGTTTATCATCTGCATATGCTACGTAACTCTCGTCCAGTTCCTGGGTAGTAGGAAACACACATATTATCACAAGCATCAATTCTGCATCTGGCTCTCATATTATGCTGTGTTAGCACAAAATTGAACTGTATTATGCAACTTCCTTTGAAGGATAGCCTGAAATCAAAGAAATTTAAGTGCACTTAAAATGTTTTGTTCCCTAGTATATTTTGGCCACATAGATGTTGACAGTTCTAGAGATAGTTTCTATAACCTTGAGACATCTATAACCAAACATACAAACAAAATGGAATACATCATGTGCTCTGGCAGACTGGCTTTTCCTTCTTCTTTATGATCTGTGCCTCTACTTCCTCATCCATAAAACAGGAAAATAAGAGCAACCCCTCCAAAGGATTAAATTAAATGAGTGAAGGAACGCAATGTGCTCTCAAGATTACTTAGCACATAGTGAACGATCACAGGTACATTCATGCTGAAAGACTCGGACATTTTTCGTCCCCACCCCAGTCATACTGCTGATTCTAGAAATTCAGACCATTGTCTACAAAACGTGTTTTCTTTAGATGGATTATCAACAGCTATCAAAATGTGGGGGACAATTTGAAAAAAATATCTTATACTTTAAGTCTGTGGTCTCCAACCCCTGGGCTTCAAATTCCTACCAGACCGTGGCCTATTAGGGACCAGGCCGCCCAGCAGGTGGGGAGCAGGGAGACAAGCCAGCAACGAAGCTTCATCTGTGTTTACAGCTGCCCCCCCACTCGCATCACCACCTGAGCTCTGCCTCCTGTCAGAGTCCCCACCACCTCCACCAGCACAGCCCCGTCCCTGGAAAAACCATCTTCTAGGAAACCAGTCTCTGGTGCCAAAAAGGCTGGGGACTGCTGTTTTAAGGGACTAATCTCAACTGTGACATATCAAAATCTTGCACAGCCAATTGACAATAAAGCAGTCAGGCAATACGATTCATCTTTTTCTTTTGGCAGCAATTTCTGGATCTCCTGGCAGGAGACGAGGAAGAGCACGCAGTGTTACTCTGTAACTATTTCCTATCCCTGGGTAAGAAGGCCTGGCTGGTGATGGGCAACGCCATTCCCGAGGTAAGCCACACAGGCTGGTTTTAACAGAAGAGGACAGTTGACAGTCGGCTCTATGAGTTCTAGATCGTTGACAGGACTTATTTTCATGATGCTTTGAGCTCTAGGAAAGTGGCCTCGAAGCTCCATAACAGGCACAGAGAACTACTAGCAGTAAGATGTAAAACGGATTTATAGTGGTACTCGGGGCCCCACCCAATGCTTCAGGTTGCTCTTTTGGCAAACCTAAATCTTTACCGTGCAAAGTTCCCACCTACCTGTGTCCTTTTACTATGAACCTCCTCCCATCCATGTTCCCAGGAATTCTGATTCTCCTAGGGAGCAAATATTCTTCATGCTTAGGAGTGAAGGAGATCCCAAGAATGTGGTAAGGTTAGGCATCTCTGCTTCCACACCTACTGCTTGTATGAGCATCTTGTGCTAACCTGGCAGGCAAAAGGAACGGGCCAGACAACCACAGGAGGAATGAAGAGAATGCTCACAGCAGCAGGTTGGAATCCAGCCCGGGCCTACCAAACAATTACAGCTGTAACCAAAAAAAAAAAAAAAAAAA